CACACTTTGGGTTATTTTGTGGTATCCACAATCTTAAAACACGCCAACGGCACGCCACCTAATCCTGCCAAATAAATCCACGCTATACAGGATCCACCCACGCACTGCAGAAACGCTGACATCGCCATGGTAATCTGACATACGTCACTGCTTATGTTTATATGTTTTGTTTTTTGAGTACGGACAGTATCTCAGTTCTTATGAAGGCCCATACAGGTCAAAATTGTTTAAATAGGTCTGGTCCTGGATGCTAAAGTTATTAGATGAATATGTTACATGCAACATGTTGACCTTTAACTAGCTTAACCGTTTTTTTCCTCATGACAGTAGATGTCCAGTAGATGTGGCAACTCTAAATGTGCAACTTAATATACTTGTATTGTATTATGAATTGAGAAGGGTAAAGCTATTTCAAGGGACAGTATCTTAATAAATATAGAGAGCTGAATAAAGTTTGGCCAAATAACTTTGAAATAAACAAAGGCATGCAAATCAAATTTAAAGGGGACCTTATGCAAAAATCCCTTTTATAAGGTGTTTGAACACAGTTGTGTGGCTGCAGTGTGTGAAAACAACCAGCCTATCCTCCTACATCAGCTCCACACAAAATCACGCGTTTGTTTTCCAAATTGCCTTTCTGAAAGAGTTTCTTGGCACTCTGTAAGGCTAATGTTGCTAAAGCTACCATTGTTTCTGCCTGTTTTCACTGATGCTGCCTTCACGTGCTACCAGAATGATCGTAAATAGGAATGTGGTAGTTAAAAATTGCATATGAAAGCAATTGACCACTTGAATTTGTCGAGCTCATAATCACAAGTGGGACTTATAAAGTTTGTGATAGCACGCAATGGCACCATAAGTTATTTTTATCGTGCCGTGCTCCCCGTCTGTGTAATTCATAAATGCGTATTTATTATGCACAGTACAATCAGATGACAGACTTTTAAACCGAGTACGTCTTCTGTAAAGATAACAGGCTTGTACTAATAGTGGAATGTTTATTTGTATCCCGGAGCATGAGCTCTTGAAGCTCCGCCCTCTTCTGAAAAGGAGGCTGGGAGCACCAGCTCATTTGCATTTAAATGGACAAACACAAAAATGGCACGTTTTGGCTCATAACCTAAAAGTGGCAAATTTAACAAGCTATAAAAATTATCTGTGGGGTATTTTGAGCTAAAACTTCACATACACACTCTGGGGACATTAAAAACTTATTTTACATCTTGTTAAAAGAGGCATAATAGGTCCCCTTTAAGTAACACTAAATGTATTTCTGCAAATATTTTACAAATTGTAATCCATTACTGATTCCAAATTACATGACTATATATATATATATAAGTAGATTATAGTTAATGTAATCGCATCTTACATATCTTATATAAAAAATTTTACATTATATGCTATATATGTATATATATATATTACAAAATGTAAAAAATATATATATATATATTAGTAATACTATGGTATTCTACCATAATTACATTTTAAATATGTACTAAATGTGGAATCCAGATCATGTAAATAATTACTCAAATTAATTACTTATACATACATCATATACATTATTATTGACTGTTATTTATTATTTACTAATGAAAACACACATATTGCCATATTTAAAATTTCACATATATACCATTATATTAATTTACTAAATATAAACTCCTATTACAATATACAATTTGTATATATATATATATATATATATATATATACACACAAATATATAAAAAAAATTATAATATATAAAAAAATTTAATAGCAAGTATATATATATATACATATACATACACACATTACATTAAATTGTTTTACTAAATGTAAACACATTACAATATGCAATATGTAAATATACATGTATATAATATTTACATATTGCATATTGCAGCTTCAAACTTTTTCTGATTCATAGCAAATTACCTTTATTTGTTCATTCCAGCCATGAAACCCATCACTTCATTACTGTTTGACTCTCAGACAAGTTCACCAAAGCATTATAGACAGAACTGTCTTCTGCGTGTTAAAACTAGAGTCAATTAATTAAATGTGAATGTGAGCGTGACGTTGAATGCCGAAGAAGGAAGAAAGAGGATTTTCTGAGTAACTGTCAGCTTAACCATTAAAAACCGCAAACCCACGCGTACCCTGTCAACAGCCCTACCCTGCAATGACAACACCCACTCTGAGCAGGGGGCCCCTACACACACACACACACCAGGATGTGTTTGTACGTCACAAAGTATCTACGTATATGTGTATGTGCACATATACGTGGGCGGCCAAGTGTGCATGGGTGTGTTTGAGTAGGAAGACACGCTTGACTCGCATAGGCAGAGCAAATTAAAGGAATCTTAGTTTTTATTCATCGCCACCCCCCTTTTTATTCTCTCGCTCCCTCTCTTTTTCCTTACGTTTCTCAGGTTTATGTTAGAGGTCACCTATTTCCAGATACAAAAGGAACAAGATCATGTATGGTGTACATATATAAATATATATGTACTTATATATATATATATATATATATATACACATATACACAGGCTTTTACTTGCACGTTATGTGTATGTATATGTTGTCATAATTTTTGTCCTGTGTAATATGACAAATACCATTTTTTGGCATTTTTAAATGCTTTTTTTCACAAACATTTTTAACGCATCTTTTGCAATATTTTTCAAACGTTTCATCTAAATGTAAACTTTAAGTTGTTCATGGTATGTGCATGTACCTACAGTATATTTATACATTTACATACGTGTATGTTGTCTTCATTTTTGTATTACAAATAGCAAAAAACGTAAATTTTCAAAAGCACTTTTTTCCACAACGTTAAAGAGATTAAGTTTGTTCAGATTGATAAATTGTGCCATTTGTTAATGGATCCTTTGCAACGTTTTTAAAACACTTAATCTAATTGTACACTTTACGTTTATGTATGTACATATTGTCTTAATTTTTAGACAATTTCTAGTCATTTTTCAATTGCGCTTTTTTCACAACATTGAAGAAACTTTACGCCATTTGTTAACGTATCATCTAAATGTATTTTACGTTTAAGGACATATTGTCTTCATTTTTCAGATACAACAGAAAAAGTTGTAGTCATTTTTCAAATGTGCTTTTTCGCAACATTTAAGAAATGTTATGCCATTTTTAAAGCATCCTTTGCAACGTATTTAGAACTTTTTGTCCAAATGTACATTTTACGTTTTCTTTATTTTTTAGATACAAAAATAAATTATAGCCTAGTCATTTTTCAAATGTACTTTTTCACAACATTGAAGAAACGTTATGCCATTTCGTTAATGCATGCTTTGCAAAGTTTTTAAATTTTTCATCTAAATGTACATTTTACATTTAGGTACGTACATATTGTCTTCATTTTTGTGATACAACCACTGATCTATAATAGAGAACTGGATTGCTCATGACGTCATAAAAGTGAAGCCGCCGCCCGCCATATTGGTATTCCCCACTGTTCCCATACATTCCATTGAATTAATAGGAAATCGTACGAATTTAATGAGAAAACATCACCTAACAAGTCAGCGTTTTTAAATCTGAAGTGTCCCTGTACATTCTTACAATGCAAACACTCTAGACATGTAAATGGTTATTGTTTAAATGTTGGGAATTTCCCCTGCTTATTAAAAAGTTACGTTCATTACAGTAGCGATCATCAGATGAACATGATAAACATCAGACGGACACGACCTCAACATATATATAACAAATGACAAAGTGCTCATTCTGAAATCGGAAGAAAAATGTATGCTTTGTATACACATATGCAATGCATAAATACACATTACACATTGTTTATGTAATTCTGTTATAGTGTAGTGGTTTTTCAAATGCACTTTTTTCGCAATGTTCAAGAAATGTTTTACCATCCTTTATTTATATATATATATTTATATACACACACTGAACAAAATTATAAACGCCTTTTATAAACGCCAAAAGAGTGGCCTTTTATTGTGGCCAGCCTAAGGCACACCTGTGCAATAATCATGCTGTCTAATCAGCATCTTGATATGCCACACCTGTGAGGTGGATGGATTATCTCGGCAAAGGAGAAGTGCTCACTAACACAGATTTAGACAGATTTGTGAACAATATTTGAGAGAAATAGGCCTTTTGTGTACATAGAAAAAGTCTTAGATCTTTGAGTTCAGCTCATGAAAAATGGGGGCAAAAACAAAAGTGTTGCGTTTATAATTTTGTTCAGTGTATATATATTCTCACGTCCTCATGTTCATCATACTCTCACGTTCATCATATATATATATATATATATATATATATATATATATATAATGTTTCAAGCAAAACATTCCACAGATGTTCCACAAATGTTATCTATATGAATAAAAACACTGTGATAGCACGGATAGATCCGTGATTGCAGGCAAGGTGCTGTCGCTTGTCATTTTTGTCACATAAGATGGAAAATGTCTTGGAAAAGCTTTTGTTTTGAGGAACAGACCAACACGAAAGTGGGGGTTGACAGCAACCACCACGCACTTCCTCCCAGGGGCTGTTCGCTGTGCCCAGCCTCCTTCCCAAAATAGCTCAAGATGCTCAGACAGATGGGAGGCTGCTGATGCGCCCCTCTATCTAAAGATCCAGCCTTTAAGATGCATGATTACATTTCATTTTAATATGCAGCTTGTGCATTTTTCAAGCTAGTGTGATTTACTGTAGTAAAATGTGGCGACTTTCCCGGGTTTCCCATGTACGAACATGGCCACCACAAAAATACACGCATATGCTGTACTGAAGGCTGTGTGGGTTCATGTCAAAACAAAAAAAACATGGTATTACCGATTAATATTCTTCAATATGTCATCATGAATGTGTATTTTACCGTGTGTGACCGTTCAGGTCTTCTCTCTCTCTCTCTCTCTCTCGGTATTCCGTCCCACACGCATAGCGCTGCCCACGCGAGGATTTGCGTCAAGCCGGCGCGTAGGAGTGAGACAGCAATGCAGCTTACATCGGAATATCCCCGCACACGAGAGAAAGAGACAGTGCAAGAGAGAGACAGCACCGATGAGCCTTCAACACACTTTCTCTCCTTCGCGAGAGGCGGAGCGCTGCCTCGAGACAGCGGCCAGCACCGGGAGCAGTCGCGCACACCAGCTGCGAAAGAGAGGTACGTAAACCCGAGGACTAATATAAACATTTCATACATAGACATTCAGATGGGGAGGGTAGAGAATCAAAGCATGCTGATTTGAGCTAGATGGGTATATTATAGACTCAATATCCGAGTTATTTGCATGCATTGAGATTCTCAGGTGCATGTGAAGCAATAGTTTTGAGATCTTCTCAGGTGAGTTTGCAGGGGAACTGTTCATGTTTTTGTGTAGAATAGTGTAATGCAATAGTGTTTGCAACTATTCGTAATTGCATTTAAATGTGGTGTGATGGCGAAAGATCTCACCAGGGTTATGCCAAGTGGATAGTACCTGTAATTTTAAATTAAGTCACTTGGAATGAAAACATCAGCTAAATAAGTACATAAAAGGAAAGTGTAAAAGTTTTCAATGTTAAAACTATTCAAATGCAGATGTAAACATCTTTTCACTGCTTGCTACAAACATCAGAAGATAGATTGGTCATTCATTTCCAGTTGAGAGTAGGACGGCGGCTATGTTGAGTTCCAGTTCGTTGCGGATGCAGGAATCTCATATCCAGTTTGAGCTTCAAATGTATTGAAAGTTTGCAACTTTTGTGACTAAACTTTATGTGACCGTCCGACTGGATATGATGTATAGAGCTTAGTCAGGGCTGACTGAATTTTACATGGTTGAAAACTGTGTGCCGGTACTAGATCATGTCATTTTCACAACTTCCAAAATGTTTTTAAGAGCTTTTGTATACTGAAAGTTTTCTTGGAAAGACGTTTCATCAGCTAATCAATTGTCATGTTGTTAAACAAAAGCGCAATCTGTTGAACACTGTACTTCTATCCCTCACAGCCTTGTTTTCATTCTTGTCAAAAATGAAATATGGCTCTACCCTGACTAAGCACTATACCAGTTAAAACTACATGCACCGAGTCAGAATTATCAATCCTTTTTTTTCTAATTTTAACTTTGTTAATTTTTTTATTGAGTTGTTATACACTGTATTCTTGGGCAGTCCATAATATGTTCCCTCCAAAAGTTTTGATGATAATTTTTCCATTACGAGTAGCTTAATAATTTAACATCGCATACTCTTAAAAATAAAGCTCCTGGAAGAGGGTTTTGCAGCGATGCCATGACCTCTTAAAAATAAAGGTTCTTCACTGGCATCAGTGGTTTGATGATGAACCTTTTACATGCATGGAACCTTTCCTTTGCACAAAATGTTCTTTATAGTGGAAAAGGTTCTTCAGATTATTAAACACGATGCACGAGGTTGGTTCGAATGCTAAGATATTGATATTGTTGATTGTGCAGATTGACAGAAGTTGTTGTTCCATACATTGTTAAAAATAAAGGTTCTATTGGTTTCTGTGATTCCATGAAGAACCTTTATCATCCATGGAATATTTCCATTCTACAAAAGTTCTTTATAGTGGAAAAAGCTTCTTTTAGATTTTTAGTAAAAAGTGGTCCTTTTGTTTATTGTGTAGCTAACGGTCAACGAAGCATCTGCTCAGCTGTGCGTGAAAGATCTGTCGCTGCTGACCCGAAGAGATGAACTTTTCTCACTGGCCAGGCAGATTTCACGTGAAGTTACCTACAAATACACCCGCATGAGCAGCAGGTAAAATCCAATTCTTCTCAACGTTTGATTCTAAAGAAAAACAATTGTTGAAATAGTTGATTAACACATTTCTCTGTTGACATATTATGGATTATACAACAGTTCGTTCTGGTTCTCAAATCTGATTGGTTGAGAACCGTGAGATATTGTACTGGTATCGCTACAGGAATGCCCTTTCACAATTTTGTATCACTCCGCTTGTTCTAGCCGGGTCTATGTTTTTTTAATTATTATTCACTGAGCTAATCGTAGAGTATGTTAGTTAATATAAGAAGAAACGTCTAGCTTCGCAGTCTCTCTCTCTCTCTCATTTGAATGCACGTCTTGCCGCATTATTTCTCACTAATAACCTCATTATTTCTCACTAATAACCTCATTATTTCTCACTAATAACCTAACTGAAGCAGCACATGCCCTTGATACGAATTCTAAAAGTGACGTATGTTTAACTGTCAACATGAGCTTTGAATCCGTGGCAGAAGGAAGTAGTTCCACACAAAAGAGGGTTTTATTAGGCACTGTGTTATTTCTTGTTTAATTATACATGTTCTGTCGAACTGTTGTATAAACGCAATATCACTCTCGTACTCGAGTGATATTGCTCATGTATCTTGCATTTGTTTAAATAGGGTATTTAAAATACCCTAAACTTTAAACAAAAGCAAGATACTCCATAATACCGTATTTTATATTGGGTGAGGGACGTTCTTGTTCTAAAGAGTGTTTTATTGGACTTTTGACCTTGTGCACAAGATGATTCATCACATTTTTTTTCTCAACATCCCATAAGAACTTTTTAAAATCAACTTCATAGAGTACATTAGCATTTGCAAATGTCACATTACCAGACAAAAATCTATGAAAATGTTACAATTTTATTTTTAGATTGTTTCATTTTGAGCTTTGCCACTTTTCATGGTCTTTATTTATTCATATAAGGAGCATCTGTTTGTACAGTAAATGCCATCTTTTTAGTACTTTCACTAGTTTTTGTTATTTAATTGAAAAGTTTTACCACAATGACTGTTTATGGTGTTTCAAAATAAGTATAGAACTCAAAATACATCTTCATTTCAGGTCCCACTGTGGTGATGAAAATGAACCATCTCCCAAGAGGATCAAATCTGAAGTAAGTTCTGTAGATTCAGTTCATATTCATAAACCTCGCTGCGACAAATTGCTTCATTTGCATGAGACGCCTCAGCTTTGCAATCATTTCGAGCTCCAGGTGGTTTCTCGGGACTTCTTTATTAGTTTTGCATTCCTGTCTTGATATTTATTGCCAGGCGCCTTCCCGTTGTGTCTGAATTAGCGCTGTGTTTGTGTGTGCACTCTCTCTGTTAATAATCTCAGGAGAATAATTACTGTCATGATTCACTCTGAAATGTCGCGTTCACACAGCTTTTCCCATGAGCGACGGTCTGCGCCTCTGGGTGAACATCTAAAAGTAAATGATATCGTTGTTTTCGTAGCTCCGTGGGGCCTCGAAGTCAACAAAGCCGATGCAAACAAAGCTCTCAAGTCGTCAAATTAAAACTCTGTGATCAGTTTTAGCTGGCTTTAAAAAGCTTGTTTTTAACGGAAGTTGTTTTTGTGGGGTTCTCTGGATAAAGAAAAGCTTAGTACACAAACGCGCAATCATTCATCTGCACAGGCGGAGAAGTACACAGTGGACTGAAAGACATAATTGACATCATCCTGTGGGTGCTTACTGAATTACCCACGCATGGCTGTGGCTGTCTCTGCCTGAGTCTAACGTCATACGTGGACACACAAGCACACACACACACACACACACACACATGTGATGACCTAAGAGGAAAATGCGGAGGTTGTCAAGGGGCGACACGAAGTATAAATTCGTTCAAAGGTGACAACGGCTGATCTGTTAGAATAACAACAAATATACTGATTAGAAACAAACTAGAACATTGCCATGGCAGAGAAAGTATGTTTATGTAACAGTGTTTTAAAGTTTTTACCATGATTAAGTAAAAAGGACCAATTAATACTATACATTTAAGAACTCAAAAAGTAGCTAAAATTATTCTGATACTAAACTTAAATGTAAAAAAAGTACTATAATTAAGTTTAGCTTCACTATGACTATATATTTGACTTTTATTGTTTAAAAATGATTTTATAAATAATTTACTTAAAAATGTATCATTCTTCTGAATTCTATGCATACATGACCTATAAAGTAATTATTGTTTTAATACTCACATGTGATGACCTAAGAGGAAAATGCGGAGGTTGTCAAGGGGCGACACGAAGTATAAATTCGTTCAAAGGTGACAATGGCTGATCTGTTAGAATAACAACAAATATACTGATTAGAAACAAACTAGAGCATTGCTATGGCAGAGAAAGTATGTTTATGTAACAGTGTTTTTAAGTTTTTACCATGATTAAGTAAAAAGGACCAATTAATACTGTACATTTAAGAACTCAAAAAGTAGCTAAAATTATTCTGATACTAAACTTAAATGTAAAAAAAAAGTACTATAATTAAGTTTAGCTTCACTATGACTATATATTTGACTTTTATTGATTAAAAATGATTTTATAAATAATTTACTTAAAAATGTATCATTCTTCTGAATTTTATGCATACATGACCTATAAAGTAATTATTGTTTTAATACATTTTTTTTTTTTTTTTTTTTGGGGGGGGGGGGGGGGGGGGGGGTAAATGCTACAGTGTAAAATATGATTATTTGGATGGTTCATCTTGCCAGCAGCATGACTTACCTCCTCATGCACTGTGGACTTCAGATGTGATGACTCAGTTTGTGCTAACAGCTTTCTCCATTTGTGCAAATGTCATGGTTGCACCAGAGATGCAAATAAATGAAGCCATCATGGAGATATAAAACACTCTCACTTCTGTCTCAGCTAATTTTATTGTAAGTTTAGCATGAGCTCATCTATTTATTTCACTTTTTCTCACCTTCTCTTAGGATGGTGTGTACGATTTACAGGAGGCTCTTCACGTTCTTCATACACGTCAAGAGACGGTGAGAGAACAGCTCGCAATTGCCAAATCTAAAGGAGAGGAGACAATCAGACATAGTCTACAGGTAGTCTGCGTTAAGTTGATGTATCATAAAACATAGTTTGAACGTTGTTTTATTGTTGGAATTGTTTTCCAAAGAATTTTGTTTGAATGTTGCTTCAAAAACTTAATTTTAATTTTTTAAACAATGTTTGCTTCAACGTTGCTTGTTTGGAAACAATGTTTGTTTGAATTTTAAGTTTTGAAAGATAGTTTCAAACTTGTTTGAAAATCAGTTTAAATTCTGATGAAAACAGCTTTCAAACAAACATTTTCAAACAACATTAAAACAAAAATCTCATTGGTCTAAGCAATGTTGAAACAAACATTGTTTATAAGAGCAAAGATCAAACAAGCTTGAAATAAACTTTCAAAGTTCTTTGAAACAACATTTAAACAAAATTCTCTTGAAAAAATAAACATTTTGCAACGTTAAAAAAAAGTTTTAAAACTTTTTTTAAAAGGAGCTTTGAAAGCTTATTTCAAAAGTGTTTGAATTTCATTTTTTAAACCGTGTTTAAAATGTTTGTTTTAAAGTTGCTTGAACTGCAGTATGTTTGGAAACAATGTTCAGTTGAATGTTTTAAGTTTTGTTTGAAAGTTAGTTTCAAAGTTATTTGAACTTTGTTCAAAACATTCTTTTGAATAAATGTTTGAAATGCTTGTTTGAACATCTGTTTCTCAGTTGTTTTAACGTGTTTGCTTTTGAAAACTTTGCTTTTTTTTTTAAATCTTGTTGTGAACATTTTTTACATTCAGGTACAGCTGGACTCTCTATTGGCCAAGCAGGTGGAGCTCTTGCGTGACACTTTGTTCAAAACATTCTTTTGAATAAATGTTTGAAATGCTTGTTTGAACATCTGTTTTAACGTGTTTGCTTTTGAAAACTTTGCTTTTTTTTTTAAATCTTGTTGTGAACATTTTTTACATTCAGGTACAGCTGGACTCTCTGTTGGCCAAGCAGGTGGAGCTCTTGCGTGATGCTGCTGTCCAAGAGAGACTAAAATCGTTAGACTGGCGGATTCCAACTGCAGCACTGAAATACCTCGCTCCCACTGCTCAACACTGCAACAGCAGCCTCTCACATCTCTCTGGTACATTTCTCCTCTTCTTCTTTGTTACTCACTGCTATTTTGCATTTGCATTTGTTTCGTGTTCGTAGCAGTAGTTGACTTTCTATTCTTAAATACAGGTGAGAGACCCCTAAACTTGCGCCTGACAGATGTGCCGCTGGGTAGGCAATTAGCCAATGAGCTCAAACGACATCACAAACAGAACGCAGAGGAACGACATCATAACCAACAGACGTCTGAAGAGAGAATGGTGGCGGCCACAGGTTAGTGCTCACAGCCAGACCATGACAGATTCTTCACAACTTTTGAGTTGGCAATTACTCTTGAGTGAAGCTATAAAAGAAAAATAACACATAATAAATGTAAATAATAAACTTTAAGTGTACACTTTGGAAAAAACAAACATTCTAAAAAGTGTTCTTCTGCCTGATGTCATAGGTTCTCAAAGAATATTTAATTCTCTAGTTCTTTAGAAAACATTCTTTGAAGAACCTAGAATGTGAATATAACATTAAGAACTTAAAAGTTTTGTTCCAAAACCTAGTTTGAAAGAAAATAGTACTTTTAATCTACAAAGATGCATTAAATTGACAGTAACAATTTTTACATTGTGACCAACGATGTCTGTTTCAAATAAATGTTGTTGTTTTTTTTTACTCTTTATTCATCAGAGAATCCTAAAAAAATTATTATTGTTTCCACAAAAAATATTTAGCAGCAGAACTGTTTTCAACACTGATAATTGTAAGAAATGTTTCTTAAAGACTAAAGGCAGGCGTACATGGTGCGATTTTTGCTGTTGTACGAGCTCGCAGGCGATTTTTTTTATCTCGGGAGAAAATCACAGATGCTCGCGTGGTTTCGGCTCGTGTAAGAAGTACGGGCCGATCCGAGACGTTACGAGCACCTCCCATCCTCCGGATAATTTTCAAACATGTCAAAAAAAATCAGATGCTGTCGGTTTAAATTCGTGGAGTATGTGCGGTTGAACGAGACGATTTGGCGATCCATCTGAAGTTGACCAATCAGAAGATGACAAAAACCATATAGTCTATAATAATTTTAGTTTAATTATACAGTTCTATTTTTTTATTTGTTATTCCGAATGTGCCAAATTTACCGTTCAGCTTTATGAATGAATATGCCTGTTGTATTTCCGGCAAAACGAGCTGAAATTCAGAAATGGCATGCTGACAATTCAGCTTTGCATCACAGAAATAAATAACATTTTATAGTTTATTCAAATAATAAACAGTTATTTTAAATTGTAATAATATTGAAAATTTTTTAGATTTTTTTACTGCACTTTTGACAATCATTAATAAATAGATTTCAATACTGTTTTCCTCTCAATATTACATCACTACTATCGACAATTCAGCTTTGCATCACAGAAATAAATAACATTTTATAGTTTATTCAAATAATAAACAGTTATTTTAAATTGTAATAATATTGAAAAATTTTTAGATTTTTTTTACTGCACTTTTGACAATCATTAATAAATAGATTTCAATACTGTTTTCCTCTCAATATTACATCACTACTATTGATGCTTGTATAAATATTTTTTATTATTCAATTATTTATGTGTTCATATGTCTTTTCTTTTACAAGGCATCTAAATATATAAAGATAAAGCACATATTCTACTTTAGTTCAGTTTTACTCTAGTCGAAATGCATTCTGGTATTGCCACACCGTCCACAAAATACATGTGGTTCTGCCTTCAAATTTGGCCAAAACGTGGTATCTCTGAAGGCAGCGTAACGTTGCCGCCTACCTTTTGGAACTGCTGTCTAGGTAGAGCGTAAAATCTTTAAAGAGCCAGTGAAGAAACGTTGTACAGATTAAAATGGCTCTTGTTGGACTCTGTTTTTGCATGTCAGTATCATCATTGCTTCAGTATCATCCTGGCACATTGACACCTACACCGCTCCATTAAACCCTGATATGTCAACGCAACGCGTATATCAGCAAGGCTTCAGAGAACTTTTTGTAATGTATGCAATCTCTTACATGCAAATGTCCTCGATGAAGGTAGCACTTTCTCTCTGAAACTCCTACCTGCCTGCGCAAGCTGCGTTAGCGCACTGTGAGTAGGTGAGGAAGGGGGTGAGGATTTACTCGTCTTTTTGACGTTTCGGGTTTTTTCTTCCGCCCCAATGTGGGCAGAGCCTGATGTCAATCAGTGTCATTTACTGATCACACTGGTCTTTTGAACTGATTTGAATATCTGAAAAATACGTTTAATACCCTCAACTGTCAATTTGGTGACATAGATTTGAAACACTAAAAAGTACCATCCTTTATTTTGGCGTAAGCTCTTACGCTACGTGTTTATTTACTGGAAATTGCTGAAATGTGTTGAAAATTCCAGCATACTGAAACTGTTATGAGAATTGAGACAGTTGAAAATGTTGGATTTTTTTTTGGTCCTGCATCATTTGCACTTTAACGCTTGTTAAATTGTTTTTAAAACCACACACACAAAAGTGGTGTAGAAGTTATTTTTATTCAAAAATTTCTAATACACATCACAAATGATTACAAAGAAACGGCAAGCAACATGTTGAAATAAACATGACATTTTGAAGTAGAAAGACTGAAATGGTATTTACTTGTACAATCACGCCATTCAAGATGTAGATGCGTTTGTTTCTTCATCAGAACAGATTTGTAGCATTATTTAGCGTTACATCACTTGCTCACAAATGGATCCTCTGAAGTGAATGGGTGCCATCAGAATGAGAGTCCAAACAGAAAAACATCACAATAATCCACATATAATTCACACTGCTCCAGTCCATTAATTAATGTCTTGAGAAGGGAAAAGGGAAAAGGTCAGTGTTTATAAGAAACAAATCCATCATTAAGACTTTTTTAACTTTAAACCGGCTAAAAATATGAGTACTCTATCCAATAATATTGTTTTTGTCCAGTGACAACGTCATTTCGTCTGAATCAGGTGAAAAATGTGCACAGATCAAGCATCGTTTACAAAGGAAAACAGTCAAAAATAGTTCTAAACAAACATGTCAGTGGATTTTGATGTGAGAGGACAACAGGGGATGGACCTTTTCACTGGAAAATGTGTTGTTATGGATAATGGAGTTGTATTTTGGCCACAAGTGACGGTTTTAAGTTAAAACGCCTTAATGATGGATTTGTTTCTTACAAACACAGCTCTTCACTTCACTAGATGTTAATTGATGAACTGGACTGGTGTGGATTACTTGTAGATTATTGTGATGTTTTTATCAGCTGTTTGGACTCTCATTCTGACGGCACCCATTCACTGCAGAGGATCCATTGATGAGCAAGTGATAATGCTTGATTTCTCCAAACCTGTTCTGATGAAGAAACTAACTCGTCTACATCTTGGATGGCCTGAGGGTGCTAAATATTTTATAACTGAAGTTTGAAGAGTTTCGACATGATCAAACATGTATCTTTAATCTTGGTTCTTGGTTAGAAATTTAAAGGAATTCTAATCTTTTATATTTGCATTTCAGAAAATGGGTCTCAGAAGGAGCCCGGGCTTCTGGACAAGAAAACCATCAAATCAGAACCAGAGGACTCCAGATAACATCTTCAGCCTCAAAGTGAAACCTGCATTTTGTTTGCTCCGTGGATTTAGTAATGAAACTGTGTGGCCTTAAGAACTGTAAATGTAGATTTTTAATTTTTAAGAATTATTTTTATTTCTAATTTTAGAACAAAAAACACGAATGTCTTGTAGTCGTTGTACACAGAGAAACTGTCTAAGATTGTATTTGTGCATCTTTTTGTACATAACCTGTTTGGTTATTTGATTGCATGTCTTATTCGTAACTATTTTTTATTTAAACTACTCGTTAATCAACAGAAACACTGGAGTTTCGTAGAAAACGGTTGTGTAGTCCTTAGTTTAGTTAAGGTTAAATGATGACATTCATCTGTTCGTATCGGTTTGTCGTTGAGGATGAACTTAACGTAAAAGAATATTGAATATGTAGAATTAGCTTTGCGTGTTTTTGCGATTGCGTCAATTTAGATGTTAGTACTAGGGAATAAAGTTTATTGTGTATTTGTTACCAGCTCTAGCCTTATTCTCAGCGTACGATATTGTGTATCTCGCTGTCGTGAGATGTTAATTGTTACATTGTGACTGTGATTTTTCTGAAAAAATTTCGCGCACTTTTTTTTTACATCAAACGTGGGCATTTTGTAAGTTAGCTGTGCTAATCTGTCGTTCTGGTCTTTTCTATGCACATTTGTTGTGTGTTTCACTCTTTATCTTGTCTTTGTAAAATCGTTCTACAAATAAAACCAAACTGGAAAAACATTGTTCATGAATTTTCGCTGTGATTTTTCAGAAAAAAATATTTTTCTTTAAATGGGTGTTTTGTTAGTTATTGTCAGTTTTAGACAAGTTTTCTAAAAAATATGGAAACTTAAAGCCTGAAATGTCCAAAGAAGATGGAGGAAAAATTATATTTCACTGCTTTTGTGTTCTCTCGCAAAACTTTTGCGTTTCCCTGAGAAACTTTGCACTCGTTCACAGTCACACTACTTTTGGAAACTATATGGGAGGAAACTATATTTCAGTGCTTTTGAGAATGAAGCAAAGTCAAATGCAGACGTTTTGCAAAAAGGAAATAATAATAAATAATAATAAAATAAAACAGCAAATAATAATTATAATAATAAACTGATCTGTTTTTCTGATCCTAAATCATTGATTTTAGCTGTTTTGTTGTTGTTTTTTCTTAAATCAGCTGTTTTCTTGGCCGTTTTTTTTGTTAGCTGTTTTTTTAGAAATCAGCTGGTTTTAAGCTGTTTTTGTTAAATCAACAGGTTTTAGCTAGCTAGTTTATGCTAGCAACATGCTAAAACATGCAAGCAACACATCAGCAATATGCTAAATCATGCTACCAACGTGTTAAATGCTTATCATGCTAGAAACATGCTAAATTATTAAAACTATTTCACACTGAAAACCTTCAAACTTCATGCTACTTCAAACTTTCTGGCTAGGGTTTTTCACGCCGACTTAACGTTTGTCTACAAACTTTATCTAGTTCTGTATTTAATATTTGACATATAATACAGCAATAAACAAAAGCAGCAAATAATTGGAATATATTTACAATAAATAATAAAATATTGAACAATATTTAAAACACAAAATATAACAATATAAAAAATAAATTGTATTAATAATAATTCAATATCTAATATGTTACAGCATTTACAGTATTTACATATTTTACAGCGAATAACTATTTTATCAAATAAAAATGTATATAAATACAAAATAAGTATAAATTTAAATATATATTTTAATTTATATTTTAATATATTTAATAATAATAATAATGACAATAATTCCAATAGGCATATATATGTAATGTTTATGTATATGTAATGACAATGAAATATAATATATAAACACATATTTAGCTGTTTATATATATATATATATATATATATATATATATATATACATACATATACAGACAGACCTGTTTGCTCTTGGTACTTCAGGATTTTTTTTTTTATGTTTTAAAATATTAAAAAGCACTTTAACCCCTACTAGGAACAGACATGGACATTTCTTACAGATGACGGGTATTAGGTTTTCTTGTGTATAAATGCAATAAAAATATAATTGCACTTGCATTTGGATTTATATATATATATATATATATATATATATACACACACACACACACACACATATACATATATGCTATATATATATATAAATATACAGTCAAACCAAAAATTATTCAGACACCTTCAACATTTCTCACATTATCAATTTATTAGCTATAGTTTAGAAAATAGGTATAGGTAATAAAATATGACAAACTCAAGAGTTAAACTGAGTCAGAACAAATTCATCTTGATAATATCAGATAACTTTGATAGAAAGGTATGTAACAAAATATCGTCAGGTCAAAGTGTCAAATCAATTTTTTGTTCCCAAATATTAATAAATTTTACTGGTAGTCCACTGTATGAAGAATTTTTGGGTATAATATGTCACAGTTTACTTTATTCTGCTATCCTCACTTACATAAATGAACTATAGTGTCCTGCACCCACTAAAAAAATATAAAAAATTATATCTGGTGTCTGAATAATTTTTGGTTTGACTGTATATATATATATAT